CTGTAGATTTTGGCTGATAAGTTCCAGCGAACAGGCCCACTTCCCGCACCTACCATCCGCGCCCCCTCCACACCCACAGGCATGCAGGTGGGCCCAGCAGCTGCTGCAGATGGGTCCCACTACAACATGTGCAACACCAGATCTACTTTTGCAATAACTAGAGGAAACATTTGCAACATACGTTAAAAAAGTTGAAACACTTGCAACATACGTCTGAAACACGAGAAAAACATGTGTATAGCCATTGCAAAACATATGCAGCATCTAGACAAAACACTTGCAACATATGTGTGAAACATATGCAACATCCGGACGAAACACTTGCAACATAAAGTGTGAAACATATGTAACGCTCATATAAAACACATGCAACATATGTTTGAAACAGCTGAAATGTTTGGAACAGGCGCTTGCAACATCCCGATCAACTTTTACAACATTCACATGAAAACTTGCAACATGCATATGAAACACATGAAACACTTGACGCATACGCTTGCAACATTCGCTTTTTAGCGCAACATCTTCTTGCTGCTTGGGCGAATCGAGGCTTGTCAATGCGGAGCTCGATGCTAGCACGAAGCTCGATGCCACGGAGGTCGCCAGTGTGGAGCTCATCGGCGGCGTGGGTCTCGGCGGCGCAGAGCTGGTCAGCAACACGTGTGTAGAGCCCAACGACAACACGTAGATGTCGGCAGCACGGAGCTCAGCGGCAGTGTGCGTGGAGCTCAGCAGGGCGGTTGAGGCAGGCGAGCTGCGGCGGGGGGTGTGGAAGCCGATGGGGTGGTCAGTTTGGACGGCGGTTGCACGGAGGAGGGCGCTCGGAGGCACGGGAGCTAGCATCGACCGTGGAAGCTGGGTGGGCGACCATGGCGCTCGGTGCCTGCACTCTCGAGCAGAGCGAGAGGGAGAGGAGCGAGGGCGAGCAAATGGGAGAGGGAGAGAAGGCGTCGGCTTGGTCTCCACAGTTGCGTGAACCCAAGGCGGCGAGTGGGGATACGAATGGAGCATGGTAGCCATGCGTCAGGCATGTTCTGTCCTGGACATCCTTCCTCTCCCTATTGCTTTGAATGGAGAGACGGAGGAGAGAGAGACGAGATGAAACCGAAAAGGATATTTATATGGTGGGTAAAATATGTGGACATCATGAGGCCACGTAGCGTCCGACGACGTTTAGATGCGAGACGGAAGCCCGCAGCGGAGCACTATCGGTAGTAGTACTGTGATAAGGATGGCTCATGTTACGTGAGACTTGTGGTTATAATTTTGAATTCCCAAGATTCCTGCTACTCGAAAATAATTTTAAATGCACCCTCAGCGTGTATAGCTTCCAAACAATGGCCACAGGCCACGAGATACACATGCACATGCACATAGCGAACCTAAACATTGTTCAAGATACACAAGCACATGCAGCACCAGTCACCCTCCGAAGGGGAATCAAACAAGCAACATATGTCATCCGTGACGGTGATGGCATAAGCGACGGTGGGCAGGGCTCAAAATATAACTTTAGCCACATATTTTCTACTCAATCCATCCCAAATTGTAAGACGTTTGACTTTTTTGACACTAAGTTTGACCACTCGTCTTATTCAAAAATTTGTGTAAAATATCACTTCTTTCGTCGTGGTTTGGTTTATTAATAAAAATTCTTCCAGAATGACTTAAATTTAACTATATTTGTACAATTTTTTTTGAATAAGACGAGTGGTCAAACTTGGGGCCAAAAAAATCAAACGTCTTACAATTTGGGATGGAGGGAGTATTATTTATGTATATATTTTTCTACTTAATAAATGCTTAAAAAATCATGCTAATATCATATTTTATTTGGATCTAAAAATATCATATTAGCATGTTTAAGCCTCTAGAAAGTAATTATTAAAATTTTAACCGAATTTCACTAATCATAAAGGCAGACCGAAATAATTTTAATACCAAAATTAAAAACCCTGGCTGTGACAAAGGATCCAGTTTTAGAAACCTTGTGACGTGTAATAACCAATCTTTTTACATATGACGAAAAGAGCTCAACTGAAACGGACTATAAAGTAATAACGGAGCAAATTAGTGATCAGTCTCCCGTGTGCTTACCAGCGTAAATCCCTTGACGCCATCCCGCTGGATTGGGACCTCGAGGTCGGGGTTGTCAGCGAGCTCCAGCAGCAAGTCCAGCATGTCCATGGCAGCAAACTCCTCACCTTCTCGCCGCCGCCGCCGCTGATCGATGTGCTCGATCACCACATGCTCCAGGAACCAATCAAACATCTTGCCCAGCCGCTTAATCCTCCTGATCTGCGGGTCCAGCCAGCTGAGCCATGGGATCATGTCCCCGATGTTGAGCGCTCCACTGAGGAAGAAGAACTCGTCGACCATCCGCTTGAACTCTTCAGGCGTCGTCGCCGACCCTGTCTCGTTGACGACATACTTCTTGCCCAGCACCATGCGTGAGATCGCGTTGAGGTTCACCATGAGGAGATAGTCCAGCAGCACCACCACGCGCCCCGCCCCCGCTGCCGATGTCCCGTGGACATAGAGATCGTGCAGCATGGCTTGCAGCTCCTCGTCGCGAACGTGCTCTTGCGACCTGAGCCTCCTAGCGCTGAAGATCTCCGTCTTCCACAGCCTGCGCGCTTGGCGCCAGTACGCGCCGTAGGGTGCCCAGAGCACGTCGGAGTAGTTGTAGCCGGTGTACCTGCCCGACGCCATCCTCGGACGGTCGATGAACGCCAGGTCGTGGGTCTTGAGGATGGACCTTGCGAAGTCGACGGAGGAGCCAACGACGACGGGGAAGGAGCCGAACCGGAGAGACATGAGTGGGCCGTACCGCTTGGAGAGCTCATGGACAGAGCGGTGCGGGAGCGCGCCGATCAGGTTGAGGTTGCCAATCACTGGCCATGGCCGAGGGCCTGGTGGGAGATTGAGTTTGCGCTTGGGATTCCAGCGGCCGAGGAGAATGGTTGTGAGAAAGAGTGCAGTGGCGAGCACGACGGCGATGAAGGAGACCACTGGTGGTAGTAGCTCCATTGGAACGCGCGCATAAGAGGGAGGGAGACGGCTTTTCTACTAGTTCCTCTCAACTATGAGTTGAAGTGATTATATAATAAGTTCGCAGTTAAAATTGAGCCTGCGTCGAATACATGCATCATATCATCACCGGACTGTCCAGTGTGTGCAGCTCAGGTCAAGTCCAAAATGGATTTCATTTTCTATGTTTAAAGTTGTTTCCTGATATATTTTGGACTCTATCTTCGCGATAGACTTGTGATGTTGTGATACAAACTTTGAGTTACAAGTCCACTTAGACTAAATCAATGAAAAAGACATTGTGATGTAGCTAGACATTACAATTTACAACAAAGCTTGGTGGAGAGCCCATCCATAGGCATCCTTAGTCCTTTCTGTCCTCCGATCCTCAAAGAGTAATAGATAGGCTTATTATCTCGTTAACTGCACGCCACCAGATTCTTGCAGCCAGGCCATGGTCAACATCAAGAGCATATATAATGAAAAATCTATACCTAATATTAAATAGTAAAAATTTCTTCCTCTAACTTTTGGCCAATCACAGTACTCTTCTTGATCGTGACTCTCCAGAGTATAAGAGTCCTAGACAGTTTTACTAATTGTACATGATAAATTAGAGATTAGAGTTCTAATTGGTTTATTGGCTCGTCTGTGATCCGAGCTCACGCCCCATGCTCCTAAGAGTTAGAATAGCAACACACAACCATGACACAAAATCTAGTTCCAAACGTATTAGAAAACATGACGTAAGATGTAAATTTTGTTGTAATGCACGGCCATGTTCGTTAGTAATAAAATAAAAGGATCTGACAATCCTTAGTAGATTTGGCTGTAGGTTGCAACCTTAGTGCAAACGAGAAAGCAAACGAATCTCACTCTTCAAAGTTAGCAGAAACACACAGGAATGATCATAACCAAGGATACGACTATACATATAGATCTTAACTCTGCAGAGTGTCTACACATGTACACGTAAGATCACCATCATCGACGTTGCCCTGCCTAAGCTAACACCGGGTAGCAAACTAATTGATACAATACCACCTTACCCTCAGCCCTAATACACCCAGAAGTACCATCGACATGCTTCAGGTTTAAAAATCATTTTGCATAGGAGCATAGTGTACTGCTTTGTTATTGCTAAGGGAGCTGCAGTACAATATGCTCAACTTTTTGGGTGTAAAACTAGTGAAGTCCCTATGTCTTATTTAGCTATTCATATACACTTCAGATAGTTGAGGAAGAAAGTTGGAAGAACATTTTCAGATAAAATTAAGCAGGTGGAAAGTCAAACATCTGTCAACAGAGGATGTCTAACATTGATAAATTTAGTGGTTAACAGCCAACCAATATACATGATGTCTTTCTTTGCCATTAAAAGAGGGGTCCTTAAGAAATTAGACTATTTTCTCTCCATATTTTATTGCCAGAGTGATGACCAGAAGTGGAAGTATCGCCTCGCCATATGGAGTATCATATGTCATACAAAATGTCATGAAGGTTAGGAATTTATGACCCAGACCTTAAAAACACTACACTTCTCAGCAAAAGGTTATTCAAGTTAATCATATTTGATGGCACTCGAAACAAATCATCCATAATAAATATCTTGGAACCAAAACTTTACCTCAGGCATATTGGAAAAGTGGCGAGTCTCATTTCGGGCTAGTCTCATGAAGGTGAAACGTGATTTTCTCTGTTTCGGGTTCTTCTCTATTACAAATGGTTCACATGTGAGACTTTTGGAAGATAAGTGGATGGGTGATGCAAAATTAGGGTGCAGTACCCATGTCTTTACTGAATGAGATGCTTAAATTACACTCTAGAGGGCACAATACCAGCACGAGCTGCAGCATAAGCATCTGCAAGGCCAGGAACAGAGTCCATGTGGACGACAGTCGATGAACTTCGATTTTAAAGCCTGGTCCTCTCAATTGCAGCTAATGAGGAAAAGCTCATATTGCTATTCATCAATCCCTTTTCCTGCAGGACCTTCGTGACATAATGCCGGGCACTAACCGCTTCTCAAGGCTCATTGCGAACAGGACAGGCCTTTCCACAATGTACCATGGCTCCATCGCAGCCTCATTGACTAGGAACTCAATCTTGCGAAGAAGAATTTCGTCAGACAATCCTAATATAGCTGGCATCTTGGACACTGCAGTGGAAACCTCAGACTCGGAACAACCAAGAGTCCTCTTAAAGAACTCAAGCTTGGCAACAACCTTCTCTTTGGAAGTACAGGCAACGGCGGCGACTGCTTGCTTGAACATCTGTGAAGTCGGAGGCACCCCAAGTTGTTCCGCCCGTATCAAAAGCTCTTTCGCGCGTTCCGGATTGTTGTAGGTAAGCAACCGTGGGATCTTTGAACACAGCTGGGCTGCCTGAGCAATATCTGGAACACCCCACTGAAGCAACAAAGCGATGTTAGGCTGGATTAACCTCTCAAGGCTCGCGCTGAAGAGGTACCTATTCCTCTTTAAGACCACCAGGACCTGCTCAAACGAGCCGTACAAGGAGATGAAGAACTCGAGCTTTGGAACGACATCGCAGCATCGGAGAACATGTGGGCCGACCAGGAGGAAGCGAGCGATTTGGGTGTAGAAAGACCGGCGCGATCGAGGAGAGCAAGGAGGCGGGGCGCGATGTTCTTCGCCGAAGCACGGAGGAGCGTCGGGTCCGCGAAGACGGCGGCGGCAATGTCGGCGCGGGAGAGGCCGGCGCCGGCGAGCAGGGCAATGATGGCATCTGGGTTGGAGGCGGAAAGGAGGCGGGACCGTGAGATCTCCTCTACTGGTCTCTTGGATGCTCCGGATAACTCGCGGAACGCTTTCTTGGACACCTCGCGGGTTTGGGCTGGGGCGAGGCCGCAAGCGGCGACGAGGTAGTCCACGAGTGAGAAGGGCACAACGGTGGTGGAGGTGGACAGAGGGAGGCAGCGACAGGCGGGGCTGAATGGGGGCGGCAGCGGTGATGCTGGCGCGCAGAGCGAGCGAGAGGCGATTTCGAGACGCAAAGATCGATTCGCCATGACGGAGAGGGCGCGGGCGCCAGGTGAGAAGAGGAGGAGGAGCGGCGGCGAAAGGGCTCGCCAGCGTGTGGGATCAGTTGGGAGGGACGAGGCCGCCGAAAACCCGCTCCGCCCACCCCAGCCCACCCATTTACGTGATGCGTAACCAGTGGACACCGGCCGTGGCCCGATTGGCGAATAGAATTACGGAAAAAAATCCACATTACCTCCCTCAACTTTTGCGAATCCTGAACTCTAAAACCGAGTAAAACACCTCTCTAAACTTTTAAAATAGTTCGTTTTACCTCCTCGACAGGTTATAAACGGTTTTCAAAGACGGTTTTGTCTTTTTCTTTTTTATTCATTTCGGCTAAAAATTTAAAAAATCATAGTCAATCATAGGGAAATCATAAAATAGAAAATCTAATTTTGTTGGACTCCACATGAGTAGATGTACAAAGTGAACATATAATATAATATGCTTTAGTACAATTTTTTTACTGTAGCTTTATATTTATGTTTTTCTATAATCAATTCATAGCTGTAGTTTCTATGGTCTATTTTTGGTGAAATTTTTATGGTGGGCTAATTATTGTATAGTTGAACTATAGTAAAAATTTCATACTCATTGAATCATGTACAACTTAGTTATAGACAATAATTAGCTCAACATAAAAATTTTACCATAATTTTTTTTTTGAAACGAACCGGCAGGAGAGCTGCCCGCTATATTAAAAAGAAGGAACGTCCAGACGGACACTTTGTACAACTCAGTCAACTCGACTCTGTACAAACTAGAAAAACAAAAACACAATAAACACAATTGAAAACTAGGAGAGAAGTTGAAGGAAAGTAGAAAGGTGCTTTGCTCCGCCAAGATCCACAGTCTCTCCTTGTCTTTGATTCTCTGAAGAACCATAACATTGGTGGACTCTCGTGCTCAAAACTCTCTCGATTCCTCTCCTTCCAAACTTCCCAAAAACTAGTATAATGAGCGAACGTAGGCCTTTCCTCCTCGTACTCGGCGCATTTGACATCGCCGTCCACCAGTTCTCAAGTGTCTCGCTATGTGGCCATGCACTCGGGTGTAGGTTGGAGTTTTGTGTCTAGGTGGCAATTTCCTTCCAGAGGCGCTTCGTGAATCTGCAGTCCCTGAAAAGATGCAGGCTGTGTCTCCGCATGAAAGCCGGCATAGTGTGCGAGTTCCTTGGTTTGGCCACCTCCGAAGCTTCCAATCTATCAGCCGTCCAAACTCGGTTTTGAATCGCAAGCCAATCAAAGAATTTGCATTTAGGTGGTGCCCAAGGTTTCCAAATGAGTGCCTCAAAGTTGTTTTTGGTTGCACCAATAAACTGGGCATGGTAAGCAGAGGATGTTGTGTATTCACCATTTTCCTCAAATTTCCAGGAAAGGTTATCTGGCGTGCCCGTTCTTAGAATTATGCGCCTAGTTGCTTGCCATAGATGTGTGTATTCAGCTAAGTGTCAAGTAGGAGAAATTATGATGTGAAGGTTGATGTCACGAATCCAATTATTATCAAGGAGTGCCATTGCGAGTTCTATTTTTCCTTCGGAGATGGCAAATAGGTGCGGCGCTACGTCGCATGGCCGCTGACCGTCTAGCCATGCACTCGACCAGAACAATGCTCTTTTTCCGTCTCCTATTGTTAAAGTTGTGGATGCCGCAAAAAGGAGCTGATCGGTCGTGTTACATGGGGTTTCATCCCCAAGACTACCATCGAACTTGCCGACCATTGTCGCCATAGCCATCTCAACCTTAATGCCCTTGCAAACTTCCCTAGATGGAGGATGCCCAAGCCTCCGAATATTTTGGTCTAGTGACCTCGGCCAATTGACCTTACATTTTCCTCCTCATTAGCGTCTCGGCGCCTTGCCCATAGGAACCTCTTCCTCCGCCGATCGATGTCCTTGATTGTCGCTTTTGGTGCACGGAGGGATGTGAGGAAGTAGACTGCTTGCGAAGTAAGGACCGCTTTAACTAGAGTCGAGTGACCTGCTGGGTTAATTTGGCGCCCATTCCAAGCAGTGAGCTTGCTAACCGTTTTGTCTACCAGAGGCTGGAAGTCCACACGCCTTAGGCGCTGATGCGTTAACGGTAGGCCTAGGTATTTGGTTGGGAAGCATGAAATTTCCGTTGGAGAGCCAGCAAAGATTTCATTTAGATTTAATCCTTCACACCGTACAGGGATGATTGTGGATTTCTGAAAGTTGGTTTTCAGTCCTGAAGCCTCGCCAAACAAGGTTAGGAGCTCAGCCATAGCTAAGATGTCTTCCCTTGTTGGCTTGACAAAAATGGTCGTGTCGTCAGCATACATTGAAGCTCTAATTTTAGTTGTTCTTCCCCTCAGCCTGGACAAATGTCCTTTCTCGGTTGCTAGATCAAGCAGTTTTTGCAGTGGATCCATTGCTATGACAAACAATAGAGGTGATAGTGGATCGCCTTGACGAAGCCCTCTGCCATGTTTGATAGGCGCGTTCGGGATTCCATTCAATAGAAACCTCGTCGAAGAGGTGAAGAGAAGTGCAGCAATTCAGTCTTGCCATCGACTAGGAAATCCAAGCTTATTCAACAGAGTGAGGAGATATTCCCATCTGACTGAATCAAACGCTTTGGCGATGTCGAGCTTGAGGAATATTGTTGGCAGCTTAGAATTGTGGTAGCGTCTTATTGCATTGCGGACGGCCATGTAGTTGTCATGGATGCTTCGTCTTTTGATGAAAGCACTTTGCGTTGGGGAGACAATGGAACTCATATGGGGCGCTAGCCGTAATGCAAGTACCTTGGCGATTATTTTGGCAAAGGAATGAATCAGGCTGATAGGTCGGAAGTCTGTAATAGCTTCAGCACCATCCTTTTTGGGAATCAAAACCACGTTGGCTGAGTTGAGGAGTGCAAGACTGTTTGTCCGTAGTGAATGGAAGGCATTCGCCGCATTGACGATATCAACCTTGACGATGTCCCAGCATGATCTGAAGAAGGCGCCAGTGTATCCATCTGGCCCCGGTGCTTTGTCAAACGGCATTTGGTGGATAGCATGTTTTATCTCCTCTTCAGTGAATGTTGCGTCTAGTCCACTAAGATCATGGGATGGCAGGTTCAGCTCATCCCAGTTGATGTCGTGCTGCCGTGCTGGAGGGTGTCCCATGAATTTTGAGAAATGGTCCTGTATTACAGAAGCTTTGTCATCATGGTTTATTGCCCAGCCATGGCCGTGTCGCAATCTTTGGATGTGGTTTTTCCTTCTCCTCGCATTTACTTTATGGTGAAAATATTTTGTGTTAGCATCACCCAGCTTGATTGACGACAGTCTCGATGCTTGTTTACATCTAGCTCTTTCGATCACTGCTAGCCCCAAAATTCTTTTCTTGAGCTTAGCCCGTAGAAGCAGCTCAGCAGCCGTGAGACTTCTATTTTCTTGGGCGATATCGAGCCTTAGGATGATCTCTTGCGCCATGAAGAAAAGTTTTTTGGCGTCCGAGTTGATTTCCTTGCTCCATGCTTTCAGTTTTTGTGAAGTAGAATGCAGTTTGTGGCACAGGACATGAAACGGCTCATGGTGGTCCGTTGTAGTATCCCATGCAGTCCTGACTACATCTTTAAATCCTGGGAGTTTGACCCAATAATTTTCAAACTTGAACGAACTTGGCCTTCTAGGTCCCGATTGGTTGGATAGCAGCAGAGGGCAATGGTCGGAGAGCGATGTTGAAAACGCATTCAGGATGTGGTTGCTGAAGGTAGCGTCCCATTCTGCGTTACAGAAAAAGCGATCGAGTCTTGACATTGTGGGTCGTTGCCTCTCATTGCTCCAAGTGAATTTCCTGTTCTGAAGGCTAATTTCAGACAGATCACACTCATCTAGCGCCTCACGGAAGTGGCGCATTAGGCGTGGGCTTAGATTCATGTTGTTTTGTCAGCAGCTCTATAGATGAGGTTGAAATCGCCCGTGATGAGCCACCGCATGCTTGGCGCTGGCTTTAGCGCTTTTAATTCATCAAGAAAGCGTAGCTTGTCTGCACTGCAATGCGATGGTCCGTACACCACTGTAAGCAGGAAGCTGGCGTCCGAGTTTTTTAGCTGAACTTTCGCCGAGACGTGGAATTCTCCGATGGTGATGTCAGTGCAGCTTACACGACATTCGTTCCATAGTATGATGATGCCCCCACGTGTTTGAGAAGGCCCTGATGCCGGCTTGTAAGCAAACTGACTCAGGCGATGGCCACCAAGGTACGAAGCATCATATTGACAGATTTGGGATAGCTTGGTTTCTTGTAGGCATGCAATGTTGCATGACGTCGCTGCTATTAATTGGTGGACGGTGTCTCTTCGAGCTTGCTGATTTAGGCCTCGAACATTCCAGGACAAGAGATCAATGTTGTGTGCACTCATGGAGAGGTGGCGAAATCCTCAAATTGGTGCATGATGGCCGCCTGCAGGAACATTCATAGGATTGGAGAAGGATCGCCGAAGACTAATCTACATCTCCAGGCATTCAGGAGCAATAAAACAACTCTGGACGCATCACCCGTAGTTGAGAAGCAAAGTTGAAGCATACTAAAAATAGTCTTCGGCGTACACAAATCATGGTGGCCCGACAAGTCTGCAATCAGGCCTACAGCGTGAACGACGATGGTGGAATGTGCGAAGTACTGGTACAAATTCTGATACAATGTAGCTTGATACATATTAAGCGTTAGGACGCAAGTTGTGCAGTCTGCAATGACCGTCAGGCTGCTGCAGTCAGGATGGCTGCGTCGCAGAGTTCTTCGACTCCCTCGCCCACCATGCAAAGCAGCGCATCATCAACTTCATTTGGCTCTTCGGTGCCCAGGTAATTGGACTATAGAAATTGCAGTTATGAATTAATTACAGAAAAGTATAGATCTAAAACTATAGCAACAAATTTATGCTAAAGCATACCATATTATATATTCACTGTGTAGATCTACTCATGTCAAATCAAAAAAATTAAATTTTGCATTTTATTGTTTTTTTATTTACTA